ATTACATATATGCTATATCGGCCGTATAATCACTCAGTACTCAGGGCATGGATATCATTCTCAGTTCTACATACTTTTCGCCTTCTTCAACATGTTGTTCAGGCTTCTTCTGGCTTGTACTTGACCCCAGTGTTGTCCTTCTCAGTTTTGCTGCTGTTTTGTTGTTGTCGTTGTAGTTGCTGTCGTCGTCGTCGTCGTCGTCGTCGTCGTCGTTGTTGTTGTTGTTGTTGTTGTTGTTGTTGTTGTTGTTGTTGTTGATCTTCTTCTTCGTCTCTTTCTTCTGGCAAAGCAGCTTGACTTTGTTTTACTTTTGGCGTTCACGTAAAAGAGAACTCTAATATTTCTATTGTTATATATCTCAAAAGGAGTCTGTCATATGTTGTCTATTATGCTAAACGTCATGATTATTACGGTTTAATGATAATCTTCGTCGTTTCCATTGTCTCTAGATACGGTTTAGGCCACAGACTCAAATTATTTGGGTTTATAGCAAAATAATGACATAATTTCCCAGTATTTCCATCACCTTAAACTCCGTTGGTCTCCGTGTTTCCTGATGGTTTGTTTAATTGTTCTTCGAAACAAAACCAACAATTTAACCTCAAATTTGGTGCAAAAGAGAATATCTTTTATAAAAATATTATATATAGGTATTTCATAGATAATTATTTGGTAAATAACTTGTCGCTTAATGCCAATGCGCAGGATTTCCTTAACAATCCCTTTATATTCTTCTTACTCAATTTAATACAACAGTATTATGTGGTAGTGTCGTTTGCCCAAATTACAAGGGTTCTTTGCGTACATGCTCTGATTTACTTATACTGATAAGCTATTATTTTTTCCCGTCTTGCACTCTGTCCAGTTTCTTTTTTGTTGCATGAAAAAATAAGTTGACGTTGTTGTTTCATGGGTTTAGGGAAACAACTGACACTTTTTTTCACGCGTTTTTCTAAATGTGTTTTTCTAAATGTGTTTTTATAACTATTTCTGTTACTAGTATAAATTTCCATCAATATTGTTGAAGTGTTTTTACTACTGTCATCTGTCCGGACATCGTGATATTCCTGGACCAGTTACAAATCCCTTACCTTGCGAACAGAGTACTAATCCCTTTACATAAATCCATTTCACGATAATTAAATTGAAAACCTATCAGATCAACAGTCACTCAATGATTTACGATTTATAAATTGGATCGTCTGTTTTTTACTTTAATTTTGTACTGTAAAAACTGTGTTTACCATATTTTTGTGTATATAGAACAGTTATATGACACGTGACACACTTTAATTCGAAACACACTGTAAAATCGGTAACAAGTTACCATATCTGTATTGAAATAGTAATTTTGAAATAATATACCAATAATTAGTAAATGGCATAAATCAGGTATGTCTCCTGTGGATTTTGGACGTTTAAGATGTCAAACCCATGCATCTCTGCCTGTATTGCTGGCCTTAGGGCAGGCTAAAGGCAATGGTCCCATGCATGTGTCATGTTGATAGGCAACAGTTTCTTTGGATTAAAATCAACACGAATGACAAGTTTTCAGTATAGATGAATTTTAAAGCTTTATAAGTTATAGTAATCTGTCACTTAAAGCTCGTTGATGTTGCTTCAAACGTTTCAACGCAAAGACACAATGCATCCCTTCAGCCTTTTCACGGGGAGACCATCARTGATGAAGATAAACGAGTTTGAATCAAGGTCTATCAGGTTATGTTTCTAAACAACACAATAAAGAACAATTGCAGCACAATTAACTACTCCAGGAGAGAACTGACGACGAAGCTGACAAACGAGAACAAATAAGTCCGTCTGACCAGGTCATGTATTGGTACAACCCTCTTCGAGGTGTCCCTTGCTAATTCAATTTACACATCATAATTCATGGACTATCGATCTGATAAATTCTATAATCTCTGTATTTGACTTCACGCTGGGTTCAGAGGAGAAACATATGGTTAAAGGTGTCACTTACACKTATAGCGTCTAGGGGAGAACTTTTCTGACTCTAATTGCGAAAAGATTCGCTCATTAATGATGGAAAATGAGTTTATTTTTAAGCGTCGAGGGGAGAAGGAGTCGTTAGTGTGGCTTAACACGTGTTATGAGGCGTGAATTTATTGTAAGCAACACTATTATGGAACTAACAGTCAGGGCTGTCCTTTTGAGAGAGAAATTTGATTAACGGTTCCTTGTTTAACACTGAGGTATAAATAAACACCAAAGGAAAATAAAGTTGGAGTTCTAGACATTCCAAACTTGTTTTAAAAGTTGTGTTTTTCGCTCATGATTTTCGACAGAGAGTGAACTGGGACCTACTGGACAGTCGTACTTACCCGAGTATTCATTCAATGGTTTATGACAGCCATTTCAAAACAAAAGTATTGCAGTGTGCTAAGTCGCTTTAAGTATTAAAGCTCTTGTATTAGTGTACTCAATGCTGGGTACTAAATACTGTAACAGTTTCTAAGAGTAGGGGTCAAAGAAAAGTAGAAAAACCGTAATGTAGATTATACAGTATACAGATAAAAAAAGACAGTATACAATTGCTAGTGGATCATGTCAATTCATTGATTCTTTGCTTTGATCAATGTTCGTGACAAAAAGCGATGAACCACGTGAAATTGTGAAATAGTTTTAGAGTAAAAGACTCTGAAAGACTTTTTTGTGTGTTAGTTTCGTTTTGTTTTATATTTTCGTGTGATTCTATTGACAATAACAGTGGTTTAGATTATTGGTCGACAAAGTAATTCCATTTCTGCTAGATCACTTGAGGCCAACGCCTATCGCTTCCTGTTCCACCGACACGTTCACTGTAATTGTGATAAACTACTTGACAGCCAGTAAGCTTGTTTTACTTTGACATTAATAAATGAACTGTTTATAGGCTTAAAAACTGTCTGTATAGACACTGATTTATTTTATCAGAGATAACATAGAGTATAACTATGTCGCAGGCTCCTTTGTCAAGTCGTGCGCTGTCAGATTTCTTCTTTTAGACAATCTTAAAACCAAGGAAATGTTCTTGGTTCTTTGTGGGTGGTGTACTATCAATGTTTCTTCAATGATGTGTTGATTGCAGGACTAATGGCTAATTTAGACCCTTCCCTAGATACATGTCTTCAAATTTAATAACGTTCCTTGCGAACTGTTGATTATTTATCAATATTTATGGAGTGTGTTAAGAGTGATATGGACCGAAGGTCAGATATACGTGGATATATATCATTGTTATCATCACTGATCTAGATATACCTACGAACCACTTTACAAACTGGTTTTACCATGCTCGAGTTAATATCATGAGCAGCTTCAGTGTTTTTTGTACACCTCGTAATGGAATTTATGTAAAGTCAAGGACACCGTCCGGGTTTGCTGTTGTTTTTTTTTTTCAATCTTCCGTGCATGATTTTTCAAAAATCGTACTAATTTCTAAGCATGCATTGACTAGTGCGATAAAAACTTGATACGAAAATGAGGCCCGTCAACGCTCTAAGGACCTCCTTCACTCTAGTTAGACCCTTTACAGATTCCGTGAAAATGCTTTAAAATCCTTTCCACTAAACTAGAGTACAAACCGCCGGTACTTAAAAGTCTTGGGAAATGCTTCTTGTTCGTTAATTCCGCACAGATAGTTGGACTTTCTGGTTAGCTTCAATGGTTTGTGAATCTAATTAGGAAATGTCTGTAGATTGATGCCTCAGTAGATGCGAAAAAACACCGGTACTATTTTAGTTATGTCTATGATGAAAGTCGATATGTTTTGCTATATCAATCCGTCATTACTGTAGTTAATAGTAAAACGGACAGTCAACAACGGAGAAAAAAGCAAATATTTTCTTATAGTTATGTTAATAAACTAGCCATCATACTCGCTTGAATAAATATAAACACTACAGCACAACAATAAAGCCGATGTACAAAAGGTTCATGTCCCCTATACTACAAGTCGGTGACTTGAACTGTCCAATGAGATTTTGAGTAGGTTTTTCCGTGGGTTTCACGTTACACACCAACCAATCCGAGGCTGCGAAACTCTCCTGGTATTTGATCAAATCGTTGAACTATCCATAATTACACGACTGACAATTACGGCTGGCAAGATGGTTATTGTCCCAAGGGCGTGACGGAAAGAATAGCTAATTGCTACACAATATATAATATGCGGTGGTATAGGATTTGAAAATGAGCGAATGATCATTCAAGCGGTTCAACATCGGTACCATAACAAGTGTCCATGTAGCTCTAAGCCAGGATCATGTATAGCGTGAACTGGTTGCTAGCTCTGTTCTTTCTAAATAACTCTATTATCACTACGTGCTGTGAGAAACACAACAAGAAGTTGGACAAGAAATGGGAAGCTTTGCGACAGCCTCTTTTACGAAAGAAAGCTCTTGTGTTGTCAMAAAAACAAATGCTAAATGTACTGGGACTTGAAGAGATACCGAATCATAATCGCCGCATCCAACGTCCTCATAAGTTTATGCTGGATTTGTATAATACATTGTCTCGTGGGACAAAACGATGGAAAGCTAAACGTCCAGCGAGGGGTATTATCAACACTGTACGTGGTGTTGTCGACGAAGGTCAGTCAGATTATGTCTTGCATGTTATGTTATAGTCTGTTGTAGTGTTATCTTTGAATTTTTTTGTAGTGCGTTTGTTTTTTGTTTGTTTTCGCGATTTTCTTGCGATTTTATTTTTTATCAACGCGGTTAATCACTCGTRAAATGTTTCTTTAACATAATTCATTGTTAATCTTATATACAGAAATTCACGACAGGTCGCTGCTTCAAAAGGACCATCAACTTTACGTGTTCGACTTGTCCGCAATCCCACAGAAGGATTTAATTGTTTCCTCTGAGCTGAGAATCCTCAGACGACMATTACAAAATAACGAGGAATTTRTGTCGGAGTACGGAACAACCTTCAAAGCTGTTRTATACATGAAAAGAAGAGTTCGTTTCACTATGGATCAAATACCATATAGTTATCCTGGCCTTGARACCTTGGATTCCTTCACTTTTGACATTACGGACAGCGAGGATAGGTGGAACGTCCTGACTGTCACTAAAGCTGTACAGCTCTGGCAGCGATCGTTCAACAAAATACAYCATCTACAACTCACTGTACAATCACTGTTAAACGGAAAGCTTGTAAACCCTGTAAATTTAGGATTTAGCAAAGAGAATAGAGTTCACAGTAATAGAGCACTTTTGGTGGTWTTCTCAAACGACGACMAAGAACAAACTCAGTCAAAAAATCAACAATCATTGTCAGAACATTATATGGAGGTTGCGTATTCCGATGACATTAACACAAGGGTAAAACGCAACGCGGGGCGCGGAAGACGTAAGAAACATCAATGTCGCGTTAAATCTCTACCGGTGGACTTTGCGCAACTAGATTGGAATAGCTGGGTCATTGCACCCCAGGGGTATGATGCAGGGATATGCGAGGGTGTTTGTAGATTCCCATTGGAAGTACATCAAAGACCGAGCAATCATGCTACTGTACAAACTATTCTGAATACTGTGGATCCGTTAGCGGTTCCGCCGGTATGCTGCGTTCCTAATAAACTTGGTTCTCTTGGTATATTGTACACTAATCCAGCGGGTGTAATTGTATATAAAACTTATAAAAATATGATCGTGGAGCGCTGTGGCTGCAGTTAGTAGGGAATGTCTACAAAGAATCGCCTATTTGGAGAGCGCGTACGAAGATGACCTTAAATCACACCGACAAGTGGGCACAACTCGATTGTGTGACCGTGGCTMCAGAAGTTAATTCGGGATTTCTTTTTGTGTCAGGAAATGAATGTCAACATGGCATTGAAGTAAAACGCTTACGTCTCGCAACGAGAGATGTGATGAGTTGGCGATCTGGTGTAGCACGTGCTAAGTGACCGGGCCGCGTTTTAGCCCTTCGTCACCTCATATGTATATGGTTAGCCTAAAGCAACACTAAGTCTTCCAGTAATTTAACGCCTAAACTCTTAACTCTTAGAAATCAGGAGAACGTCGAAAATGTAAACGCGGGACGGACATAGGATAAAGTCAAGGCCGACACAATACAACGGCAAATAATCTTAGATGTATTTACTCTACTACGATCCTTAAGGAAGCAGAGACGGTCTTAATCTTATTACTCATTCAAGATGGATATTCCAAGGAGAAAGAGATGAACTGGTCGATTAACGCGGGTTACGAGTGATCGGACCATGGGGGGTACAACAACACTTATGATTTAACTGGGATAAACGAACCGCTGTTTTTAACTCGCTACTATTTGAACACGTAACAATGATGACTTCACAGATGAAGGATTAGCCTGCTGCGTTAGTCTTTAATGCCTGTATAGTTAACAGTGCTTAAAAGCCGTGAGAAGACGTGCCGACTTCATCTGTGCCATGCGTCTTGGCATGCGTTAAAACTAGGGGTTAGCGCTCTAAATGTTGTGTATACAAGACCTAATCATACAAATATTTCAACTTGAAATTTCACCAACGGATTTCCATAAAACAGCGCTGGTACTTATGTTAAGGAAGTTAAGCCATGATAAACCTTGAATTAGGTGAAAACTATGTGCCATACGCAGCTGTGTTGATGTAAGAACGGTTATTAATATAACTTTTATTAAATCAATGTAAATACTTGGACRGTTATTTATTCGTGATAGTATCATTCACTGTAATGTGTACTGAGACTCCATTATACTCACTGCTAACAGGAACCAATATTATGTCATTGGTCAATTAATATCTTTCAAAGCTTTACACTGATTAGCAGCAGTTTGTAAACCATTTCCTTCGTTTCAGTGTAATTATAACCTTTATAMSTTAAGCTTAATGACCATAGTTGCAGAATCATTTTATGTAAATGAGCAACRAGATGAGCTTAATTTTTAAAAATGTATACAAAGCATTATGCTGTCAAAATCGCTCATTACGTCTCCCAAATAAAAACTTCTACTTGTAATTTTGTACAAGTAACTTTTACGCTCTTATATTTTAAGTGTGTTACTTAAAAGAGCTAGTTTATATTGAGTTTGCCTTGACACGTTAAGATCCCAGACTCCGTGGAGACGTAATCGCCCTCTAGTGAAGGGCTTACGGCTCAAGTTATTTAATTCCACAACGAAAATAAGCGCTGTGATCAAAGAACAGTTTGCCATCGTCAATGGAAAAATGCCCATCATGGTGCCTCTACTAACGATTCAAAYKTTCTAGTAAAGAGATACTTAAGAGGACAGGGGTCTCTCTTATTTCTAAACCGAAGGGCAAACAGCACTCCAAGTTTAAGTAAACTAAATCACACAGCAAACACGTAAACGGTATTTGTCACAAAGCCATCCATTGTAATGTCAGTGACTCGTTAATCTGACTAGCATAGATTTRATGCTATAGAAGCTATTTAATAAAACTAGGTTTGTTGAATGTTACATAACCACATAAAAATTCAAAGCGCGTGCTCGATAAATACCTCTCAATTGATAATAGATTAGACGGAACATAGCATAATAATTAGAAAAGAAAATTCGAGTATCATTTCATAAGCTAAATGAATTATATTTGACACGAGTGCTCAACTATTGCGCTCAACAACGCAGTTTGACGTCTCGCTTTGTTGACGTCACCTACCATTCTATTTTCAACAACTCTCGAGCAAAGTGTGTTATCATCGATTAGCAATCATCAGKATTTTTATGTCTGTACCCCTTAGATAGCCAGCCTAGCACTTTAATGACATTGGCTGTTGACATTACTTAGTCTAGGGGTTCATATYATCCTTAGGAAGAAGATTTTGTCGTTCACTTAATGTCAGACTAAACCAATGGGCTTTCGGAAGTCGTAGATTCCGCCCTCTTGTTTTRTGTTTCTGAACTGAAATTGTTTACTTTGAAAAGTCTTTTCTTCTACAAAATCGATTTCTGTGTATCTTGTTTGAAAATGAATACAGTTTTTATATCTTTAGAGCGTACCATTTGTATTTTGTAACTACACGATAAGTAACAAAMCAGAGTTCTATGAATGGATGCAACGAGCTCATGTCCCATGGTCYGAGAGGAACAAAATGGCGTCTATATTTAGATCTTATTTTTCCTTTCAAATGAATAAAATAAACACTTAATCTCCAAATCCATTTRCAGTAGTGTACTAAGATAATTTCCCTACAATGTTGTCGTATGTGATATTGATAACCGCCTTGCTGTGTCAGCAGAAATGTCTATATTTCAAAGAATTTACTGGGCATTCATTTATCGTTCCATCAWTGTATGAGATCAAGGGCTACCGACAAGTATTTCCTACTTGGATGATCAAGTTCTTGTTGATTAGTTGTCCTGTTAATGCGTAAGGGCGATACTTGGTTATCATATCAACTGTGATTACTYAMCGATCATCGGTTCAATCTGACCGTGCGCGCGTAARATGTTTGCACGAATACTGTTAGGCGATGTTATTTCATCACTCCTCACTGAATTATACTATCATTTTCCTTTCTCTACATTGTACAGATAACGCATATAGTATTCATTCAGTTTTTTTCCAAATACGACTTTATCATAGTGAAATATAGGTTTTCTGTAGGTGCATATACTCAGGTTAAACCATCTATGTTTTTCCTTGCATTCTACTTTTTATTATGTATTTTTTTTTCTCATCTTTTATTAGTTTATTGTTTTTGAGGGAAATAAAAACATACTCATCCTTAACCTTTCTCAATCAAGCACTCGTCGACGCTTGACAAGCAGGTCTCATACATGACAACGATTTCTTCATTTGAAAGCCTCGTATGTCTATCATGAATCATGTGTTTACTGTCGATAATGAACTCTTTTTAAGCTTTACACAATACACAGACAAACCGCAATGTATTCATAGAAAAATGACAGTTGAAGGAATTCAGTAAATGAATCCTTTCAGTGTTCAATTACTATTACAAAGGAATTCACGACAAATGGAGGGTCAAAAGTTCTGTAAGTGTAAAAAATGACTTTAAAAGAGTCATCGAAGCTAAAAGGCTTAAATACAAACAAAACACTTGCTCTTCATACCATACAATTAAGGGGGCTGTAAACTTGAAAAGCCCTTGTTAACCTCCCGCCCACTTCCCTTAGATACTCCGTTAAACAGCGTCTTTTTGTTGACAACAACGTACCAGCGCGGAAAAGAAAAGWTCAAGCAAACCTTAAAGGATTTATTGAAACATTGCTCCAATTTTTTTTGTTTTTTTCATCATTATTTGTATTCATCATAATCACTATAATTATTATAATCATTGCATTGTGTTCAATACGTGTGAGATTCGCGTTCTGAACTCGTACAAAAGTCGATCAGTAACCTACAATTGTAGCTATGAGAAGCAATGAGCAAGGAAATCAGATAAAAAACAAACAAMCAAACAAACAATACTTAAAATATAAAGAAAATGTACACAAAGCAATACCAACTCAATAACAACGAAAATAGAAAGCAAGACGGAAATAGACACACCAGAATGTCATCAAATTTTAAACGAAATCGATACCAATTTTTTGAACATTCAACATAGATACTGATGAATAAAACATCTGCACCTGTATTTAAACAATAACAATAAACGTCAATCAAATGAAAACGAAATGGTTTGCTAGAATAAACTACCAATCAAGTGCGCATTCACCGACAAAAAAACTGAGAATAATAGCAGCAAAAAAACCCAGTAACTTTCGAAAGCCTATCATATTGATTTACTAATTGGCATAGAGAGATTAAAATGTCGTTTTTCAAGTGTTTGGTTTGAAAGGGGACTTTAACACAGCAAGACCAGTAATTAACCAGTAATGCCGCGCTGACCGACACATGACCATGTTAGCAGGGTGTACGTTATATTAAATACACCGCGATGCAATTAAAACAGATTAAAAACAGTGTGAGATACATCGATCTTAGAAAGTCTTACAACAGAGCTACGGAAACGCACCAGTGTGGACGAGCCTTACGTAAGTTTACACGTAAAATTGACTGTCTGCAGTSCAATCATATAGGACTTATGACGAGAAACCCGTGAAACCAAGAGAGATAGAATAGCCAGTAATAATGATAGYATGAGATATCATTAGTCACAGGGTAACTACAATGAAGAGAATTGATAGATACTATCACAAATCTTGCTCGCCTCTTAACATCGTATTTATTATCAATATTCGTAAAAATATACATTCAGTTGAAAAAGGAGAGCAAAAGTAAACACAAAAAACAAAACTGCCAATGTTGGAATCCGAACCCTTGCCTGACAGTTCCAAAAAACCAAAGGACAAATTCCCAGAAATTTCTGCTTTAGCTGCATGAGGCCGAGGGGTAAGGGACTGGGTTTAAGTCCAACGACAGCAGGTTCATTTCTTTATTATTGATTTAAATTTTTTTCAATTTTATGTCCATATTTGTATGTCAAATTCACCGCAACATTTAATACCAAAACATGCTCATTTTTTTATAACAGAAAGCTGATCCTATACGTGAAGCTGTGACGAACTGCCACCTCTGAGATCGAATGTCTGCTGAAACGTTTGATTTACATTTAGGTACCTGAAGTAAGATCCATGATGTAGCAAATGCATTGTGATCCCAGTGAGTCACAGAGCAGTAATGGATAGATTCTCGTGGTTTATCCCTACCCTAACCCAAACAACACCGCGCAGGGATATCGTAGACCACGAATAGAGGGCTTAAACTCCGAGAGCACAGTGCCTCAGGGTAAGGGAAGTACTGCTAATTTGGTTCTTTTTTCTCACACAAAATTGTCACTGCAGCTGCACATACAGCGCCAGTATTTCGCGACACGACCTCCAAGTGTAGGCGCCATTAATTTTTTTTTTTGTCGTTTTTCAAGACAAAATATCCTGTATTTTGGTAAACATTATTGAAATAAAATATGTTTTCTTTTTCTAGGCATATCCGCTGTTTTTGTGAAACAAGGAATCGTGGCGACTATGCCGGCTAGCCTCRAATTAGGCCTGTCCAAACGTCGTATTTCACGCGTATTGTTCCCTAAGTGAATGGATCGGAAAGCTGAAAGATTGGAGTATTGTGATTATTAATTTCCACTGATACAGACACATATGAGATTCGATGGTGAAATGAGTTCTGGTATAATGTCTATTTCACGTTTTCAGGTATTTTCATATTAACAAAGAATTTCGCGACGTGACAACACAAAGCAGGGCGGCGGGGATAGACATGTGCATCGATTACAAGCAAAACCCCGTTTATAATCATTTATTTATAACACAATAGAGACTAAAATAATCCTTGGCTATTTCCTTTTCCTAGCTATGACTCTCCTTGATTTGACAACGGATATTGCCTCGGGCAGTGACCGATAACAAAACTTGGAACACAGTTCAACTTTTATCAAGTGGCTATTATAAATACATATTGATGTAGACATGTATGTACGCATAGATACAGATATTATATATGTGACAGTTTACCAAAAACTACTGGTAACCGAGGATCCTCACTGACGTCCACTGATGCCTAATATGTGATCCCCTGGGATACCTGTTTTGTACATACCGTGGCAAACTGGGCCTAGCTCCGGCCAGTCCCCGCGCGTAAACATATAGCAAAATTTTTATATTGCAAATGATTTTTTCTTTGATTTTGTTGTAATTTATCATGCGATCTGTGTCTTTTGTTGAGAGTATTGAACTAGAATTTAATGGGAATCTTTTTAACGATGCATTGATACTTGAAGATGTTGATAATGATGGAAAAAATGAGCTGATAGTTGGGAATATTGACGGGGAACTGTTCGTCTTCAGAGGAGAGCTTACAAGCAAGCCATGGAAGARCTTCAAACATAATGGCATGATAACATGTATTGTCGCTGGCGATCTMATGAACGCTGGAAAAAATGTCTTGATGTCTATCACTGCAGATGGATGGTCTTACGTATTTGATGTAAGTAAGGGTTTTTTTACAGTTGTATGTAGTATTATTCGTTCAGTTGTAGTATTAAACGTTAGACTACATGGTTAATCGAGGGGGGAAGGATTTCGGGGAGAAGGAGGGTTTCTTCCCTTCATTTTGTTATTCAGTCATTGATTCGCTCAATGTATCATGTTGTCATTATATTTATATATCCATTTATACCTTTATTGCAAGTTATTATTATTGGTCATTATTTTTAATTATAATTATTAAAGCTTATTAGTTAGTACTAATGTCATGATACCTTTYATTGTTTTCAGTTTGATGAGCAGCCTGATGATACTTGTATTTTGCAAGTTTCATACTCACAAATACTGCCATCAAATACAAAGACAGCCTTGATATCAGACATTGATGGTGACGGGCWGTATGAGCTKGTCACTGCTCATACAGATAGAGTAGTGTTTGTTCATAAATGGAAAAATATGGARAYAACAAACCCAATTGTTGACACCAAGAAAAGTAAGTTTTTATTGTAATTATGACTGAATTATAAGTAGACAAAGTAAGCAAACTATAGAATAAATAACACAATAAAATATCATTGTTTTCCTGAAAATGACGGTCAGTTTGATCTGGTACTGCAATATTGTATGATTTGTTTGGATAGTTTGCATATTTTTAACTCACTTCTCTGTTATACAATGTGGCAGGAGTTTAGAAAGCATTTTAATGTTATTTTCAATTCAATAAATCACTGTTCGAAGTTACAAATGAGGTCAAACTTTTAAAAATTATGTCAATTATGAAAGTTTAATTCTTTCTGCTTTAGATGAAGAACTTTCTGAACCTCAGCGAAAAACCTCAAATCATAGCAAACCTAAAGAAAAAGGATCAAGAGAAAATGTGAAAATGTCATCACCTGATGACCAACAGGTAAGGCCTACAATAATGAAATTTGTGCATTAATGGCTGTTTGAAAAGGCCATTTTCATGATGCCGTAACTTTACTACAACTACCAGAGAGCCTTGCGCATTTTCATTGTTATTCAGATTTTAATCCCCTTAGAGATTAATAAAATAATTGGCACTAATTGCATTACAGAAGAAAGTTGGCAAAGCATTCTAGTAGTTGTAGTTATACTCTGCGAACAGAGGTTCTTTTCTCACCCGCCGAAAAGCGAGGCGGGTGAGAAAAGAACCTCTGTTCGCAGAGTATTGTAGTTAATGACGCCATAATACAAATTGGCTATTAAAGAATGTTGTATGCTGTTRATGCAGGATAGGAAGATATCTGTCCAGTCAGATGACAACATTGTGAAACCAGCACTACGAGGAGAGTTTGTTATTATCAATACATGGACATTAGCCAATCAGATTACATCGCTAGTTGAGTATAAGTGCATGGGGTGTCAATATTTACTGGTATCACAGCCTGGAGGGACGTTTGTTAACCTCACATCACAGGTTGGTATTTTTTTCCAGGAAACAACAAGAGCTGGTTGTGCAGTTTTGCAATCTATTTTACTGATATCCTTCATTTTATGGAAAATGTTCTGAACTTATTTTTAAAATATATCTTTTACTAATGCTGCTGTCAATAGATGTTGCCAGATTAAGCATCAAACATTTTGGATGGAATTTGAATGTGTTTGATGATCCAAATATGTTGGGCTGCCCGACAATGTGTGAGAGTGTTGGCCCGATTTTTTTCCTATTTTGATAGGCGCTTAGAGTCCTTTACGCATATGTGCACATGCGTACTAGTGGCAAGGAAATATTGAAATTTTTGGGGTTTGATGCCTTTTATATGCTCTCAATGCCACTCAAAACGCTGGAAATTACAATTTAAAATTTCCCAGGGAGGAACCCTGACCCCACATAATATTCCCACCTTTGATATCCCCTCCCCCTCCCCACCCATCCAAAATATGTGCCGCGGTCCCTAACATGTGCATACTAGCCAAAGCGTCCACTCTATGCGCCTGTTTTTTCCCAGAACTGGTCATGACAAGAATCAGGTTGAATTTCATTAGTTTTGAAATTGTTTATATTTTCTTTAAGTTTGCTGGGTCCAAACAAGATATGGAAGACACAGGACTTTTTGACTATCCTCTACCCTTCAGTGGCGGCATAAAGAACTCMGAAATCCCTACATCAATGGCTGCTATATTGCATAAACACACAAGACATAGTCTGAATGAACAATCTAGTCTACTAGCACTAGGTATGCTTGACGGTAATGTATCCCTTATGGACCAAGAACAGATCCTGTGGACACTCCCTCTTGAAAAGAATCTACTAACGCTGTCCAAACTAGACATTACTAGTGACGGATACGAAGAAATAATYACRTGCGGTTGGGATGGTGCAACTTATATTATAGACTCTGAAAAGAACATTGTGAAGTTTCAATTCCCTGAGAGTGTAATGGCTTTTAATGTTGGGTACTTTGGTATGGAGACRAAAAATGTACCTTGCCTCGTGTACGTCACATTTTCAAATACGATAGTAGTATATTATAGGATAAGTCTCTCTAGACTTGCTCCTGCTAACTTGTTGACGGTTATGGAGAGTAAACCAGAGCACAGGAAGACGTTGAAAGAGCTTGGCCTTCTTGATGATGATGTTGTAGATGAAAACAAATTCAAAGAAATGGTGTCAGAGTGTCTCTATGGCAACAAGGGATGACGTCATCAAGGACGACACCCAGAAACAACAGAAACGTCCTTTGCAAGCATTGAGGAAATCCTTGGAAGGCAGATATTGCAATGTATGCAGAGAAATTTAAACACCACTCACTAAAGGACTAAAGTCAAAGTCGATGATGAATAGCATGATGGGGATTCATACAAGAAGCGGAAGTTGCAGTGCTTCATAAGCGGAAGGTGCAAAGCATCAAGGGAATGTATAAAAGTATTATGGGAATATATACATGAAACAGTTACTGCGTAGGTTCCCTGATATTCCTGACAAATAGTGTAGGGTGCGCAAAGCATCAAGGGAATTGAGACAAGCATTATGGGTATATTTACATGACGACAGTACTTCACCGATATTCATACAAATACCGGATGTTGCAAACCATCGAGGGATTGGAATGCACTTAGTGGGTGTTGTACTCATATGAAAGGAAGCGATGAAACTAGATAAGTTGCCTTTATAATCGTTTAATTTTCCATCTGTTTACGTACAATTTGTATTTACAATTCTTTCTGTCTTTGAAACTTCGATGTGCAATCTACAGCCTTGAGAATCTGTCTAGTTTATATACATTTTGTATTCGTTTTTAGCTAACTACCATTTACAATATAACAGCTTTATTGTTCATTTACGAATTCAAAGGTGGTTTGCGGATTGTCAGGAASTTAATCAACTATGATCTGCGTCGGTTTTTCTGTTGAAACATCTGTAATAAACACTCTAKAAAACAGAGTAGACGTGCTGAATTTTCGGACGTTGGGCCTTCGTCGATGTAGAGGACGTTTTTTAAGAGTTTGTCTTTAAGCTAACTCTCCTGTTTCAGTATAAAGTGTTCTTGGAATGTAAGTTAATGCCATGAAACAGTTAGACCTCAGGATCTGCAGAGATCGATGGCATTAAATCTCTGTCAGAAGCAGTGCCGTCGATATAGGACTCATTCAATGGAGTGTTGACTTTAAAGTTCTAGTTCATAGCATTCGTAAGGTAGCTCTTCGAGTATTTTTTGTGGATAAGGAAACGTGTCCGACAATTGGAAACCAATTTTTTTGTAAAGTTTTATTGCAGCAGTCTGCACGCCAGTCGTACTGAGTACGATTTTGTTTATGTTTTGTTGCTTTGCAAAGATGACGAGTTCCTTGCATAGAAGCTTAGCAATTCCTTTTCTTCGCATTGTACGTGATACTGACATGCGTTGGAGCTCTCCTACCCCTGGTTTTAGGTGTGGTCCTTGCAGCAATCCAACCATGCCGACAACCTGACCTTGAACCTCAGCTACAAACACCTTGGAACCGTCCTTATACGTTTCTGAGATATCCAGAAGGTCTGAATTAAGACAGCCACTAATAAACTTCATAAGTTCAATGTATATGTCAATATAAAGAAGAGCAGTCATCACTACACAAAGTATCAGGTACAGGCCCACGATCCAAGGCGACCAGCGGAAAGATGCAGCAGAGATAAGCACGAGAATTATGCTAGCTATCTTGACGTATCGTGGATATACCAAGGTCATGATAGGATTCGCAAGCTGTTGCATGCCTTCTGTGAAGATTTCACGGCATTGAGTGTGATCACTGTCCTTATATGGTCGAATAAACACGTCCCTTGGCTTAAGCGGACTAGTAGTTGTCAACATGTCCATATCTGTAAATGAAATCGTAAAATATCATGACAATATGCCTACAATGTCTCCCTGAATATTCTGCTATTTTTATCTCCAYCCGAAGCCCACGTGCGCGGATCTATCTGGAAGGCTTTCTTCATAGACCTCAATGACCTTCTGTCTGGGAAAACACGTTAACCGCAAATAACAGGCATTTTAGGAAAACTACTGTCACTCTCAAGATAATGGCACTGGGTTTACATGTACATTCAAAGATGCAYCCCCATATAAACTTATATCCCAATGGATAATACCAGCAGAAGAAGAGACAGCTAACCAGGGAATCTGGTCACACTATCCTTTCGCGCGTAGGAGTTGTGTAGCTCGAGTACAAATGCCTTTTTGTTGACAAACATTTCACTGCACATCCAGAAGATTTTCGCACAAAAAGCAACAATTTTCACTGATTTAAGAAGTGTCTTTGCTTTGTCTTGATGTTAATACATTTGTTTTAATACGTAACGGTTTAAAACAATGTACATGCAATGTGTTTTCTTTAAGCAAAGGACCAGAGAGTCAATTCAAGCTTCTGATAATACTCTAACATTGCATATATTGAGATCCGTTACGTAATAATCAAAGCTATGTTATTCTTGTCCTATGGTGTTCTCCGCAACAAAGCTGCATTCAAACATGCTTCTTATACTAAAATGGTTTTGCTGAATATAACAGAAAATTTTATAATATTTACCTCAGAGTGATGTGTTTAAGACGCTCGATGTTACGCGTTTAAGGCAGTAAACAGGACGACAGTAAATTCCTAGCTTGTCTGTAGTGCAAGTCAGTGCAAGTCGCTTCACACACTGGTACATTGGTCAGGAGACTAGCGTGTTATATATGTACAATATTACCACGTGACACAAGTCTGTCATCACGAGACGAATCCATCACGTTGGAGGGTCCAATACGTGCTTCTAATAACATGTAGCAATACGCTTAAAATATTACGCACGCAATCTAAAACAACCCAAAATCTTCTTTAATGTTCTCAATTCACAAAAATTTYCATCAAATAAGCTTATTTTCGCGATTTTAAGGCTCAAGATCTTGATAATTCGTGTATTTTTGCACGGGATGTGCCTGACCTTTAGACCTGTGGACTGTTTTTTCTGCCCTCTCTGCTACATTTACACATAATCTCATGTTTTGCAAAGCTATTTTAAAATTGGTATTTTAGAGACAGCAAGACATACTTTTATCGATGGAGATATGACATAGCTAGATGACGACGATAATTTTTGGCGCGTTGTTCCAGTTTTCAACAATGACAACTCGCCTCCTGTTTGGGAATTTTCCCCTTTTGAATCATTTTCCTATTTTGTTGTTAACATTTTGACCAGTATGTATGCGATCATAGTTTTCATTGATGTTTGCAAACATAATAGAAACTACTTGATTTCTCGATCTTATTTGAAAGAAATGGGCAAGTGTTTGTCCAACTCAGTAAAGGAAGACATCCTGCAATGTGCTGCATCTATTGTTATCTGGTCTTTATTTACCAGGAAATGGCTGCCACTCACGGTAATCTGTAACTCCTAATCAAGTAATCGGAAGCACTAAGACTCGTATTCTCATGTAACCAGAGTTTATACACAATAACTTTACTAGTAATTTCGATGGTTTTATGGCTTTGGATAAGTTAGATGCCTCGTTACTTTCGAAAAAACAAGTTGCGTTTTACAGGTCAAAATAGAACCTCTCGTGCAGTCGCATTAGGCTGACATTGCACAGTTACAATGACCGAATAATGTCAGCAATCTTGGAAATTACGCAATGTTGCGTATCAGCTTGTAGCACGTAGTTTTGCGTCTTCACGCAACGCTAAATACGCGGCCGAGTAGGAGTCCACACGAAGACAAAACCGATATTCGATCGAATTCCATGAAATCCATCCTCTCAAATTAACTTTTATTACCCTTTGAACAACTGCAAGCAGTCGAACAGTAAAGAAGTGTTAAATGCCGCCATTGGTACAAGCTATACTAACATACCAAATAGAAACCAAAGGCCAGGAATGACAGGTAGTTCCTGGAAAAATATTGGTGCATATAAGTCATGTATGAGTCATTCTGCTTTGTATCGCACACGTACTCACACARCMACACAAATCTGATAAATGYTTACACGAAAACTAGCAACAGTAACARCATTGTGGTTTAATGGTTGACCTGTGAGACCTGTGGTTGTCCGATCATTACTGGCAATAAGAAACTATCACGTAGTTCAGCGGAACTATTTCCCTAGAAGCTCTCCAATGACCATTTTAACTCTGCATYTTGTCACCTACAGGTMTCTGAGATCGTCGTACACAACTTACAATRCAATTGAAAAATGAATACTGTTTTCTAGCCAATGCCYATGGAATGCTAGAGCGGCGACTATTTTCTTTTCTAGGACACTCCGTTATCTCTGAACTCTCCAGAACTTCTTGAGTCACCCGGACCACTCGTTTTCAAGGGCCTTTCTCAGCCCACTTGTCTGAATACTTTTAGTTTTCTGTCATTAAGGGGCAGAAGGCTGAGAAGAGGTGATTTTTCTACTTCCCGTGATCGCCCAGGCCATCGCGCACATATATAACACGGCATCTCATTGGATAAACATGAAATTGTTTCAGAGGTGAAAATTCAAAAAATTTGTCATGGTAGATTGGTTGTAATAGGCCATTTGCACGATGACGTAACTTTACAACAACCTCCATGAAAGCCTTGCGCGTTTTCATTCTTATTCAGATTTTTAACCCCTTTGCAGATTAGTAAAACAATTGGCACTAATTGCATTACAAAAGAAAGGGGGCAAAGCATTCTGGTAGTTGTAGTTAATAGCGCCATGAAACAAATCGCCGTTTCCTACATTTAAATATTTTACACGTACAAGACGACAAATTAAATAGTGAAAACTAGTTTTCCTCTTTTGGTTCAATGTAAACCATTGKTTTACGCTTWGATTGGCYTATCGGCCGTTAATGGGGCAACAAAAKGGTGGATGCTTTACAGTTATTTACAAAGACTTTATTAAAACCTCCCTAAAAGGGTCTTCCGGATTTATTTACATGATAAAGTATGTTTTTAATTTTACGCTGCATGCTTAAGGGATCTGCCTATGTTTCAGTGCTATTTAATACTATTAGTTCGACGGGTTTGTTGCAGCTAGAGGTCATTCATTCCCTGAATATTTCTACCGCATTGACGTAGTTTCATGGGTCTTCTCTGTCATTCGTAGGGCGGACTCTGAACGCTAGTGTCATATACACTCCAGGCGTCTACATTTTCAGCAATGTTCATTTTTGACTGAAGCAGTGAAAATATGTTACCATTTATGCACTTACGCGTGTCTAACGTAAATATTTAACGTGCGTTTTTACGCGTATTTAACGTACGCTTTTCTGGATTTCTGGACGTAAAATTGTCATGTAACTGTGGAAGTTGTGTTATGGAGAATATTTGTTATGACTTAAGTACCTCTTTCATCAGGATGAACACTCCATCAATAAATACGATTTCTTTTTGTTTGTTTGGTTTGTATTTTGGCATCAATAATGATATCCTGTCAGCTTTTCACCATATTTTCCCTTCCAGGTGTTGTCCCATTTGATGAGCAGAAAACAAGTTTTTGAAAATACTCAAAAGAAAGAAACATCCCAGCACAACCGCGACGACGCTATATTCAAACAAAACTTCGTCCTTTGTATGCATTCTTGTGATACGGTCTTGAAATCCCTCTACCCCAGAATGCTGTGCTGGCGTGAAAGAATTCTGTTGTCTGTATGTGGTTGGCCGCATCCTACGCAGTTTCCTTTCCGACGATTTTCAAACTTGTAGGCTCTAAAGTTGGCTATTTCTTTTAAGGAGACTTCAGCGCATGGATAATTGTGTCATTCATGGCTGTATCAGTGCACTKTGCGGTCACACGCTTGAGCTTGCCTGRTGTTAGTGGAGTGCAATATAAAATGATACCATGTCCATCAACATCTTGACGAATTCACACTCATGTCGTGTGGGTATATGCATTTAACACAAAAGAGCACGGGACGCATATATATCATGTTTGATTGCAGGCTCATATTTCTTTTATAGACGCGCTAAATCTGTGAAAAAATATCACTAATTACTATTAAATAGTGTTGATGTGACAATTGATAACTAAACAATTGAAGCAAAATTTAGCACCAGTTTTGTACTAATATATCAGCTCCGTCATAAAAAATTATAAAACTAACATTCAATTTTTTATCATCTATTTTTCCATCCATTTATTTTTTCCGTTTATTCATTCATCTTGTTTCATTATTCATGTCACTTTATTTCATTCAAACATTTATTTATCTATCATCTATCTTATTCATTCATTCTTTCGTTTAATTTTCCCTCGTATGCCTCGAGGATCAACTTAATTCTTCATTCCAGCATTCCTGAATTTTTAATCTGTTCTTTCATACTCTTGACCTATCCATAAAAGCTAGCAAAATCCGATATAGAAAACTAGTAGAAAACTAGTTTTCGTCACATCATGACCTTTTCTGCCGATTACTTTTGAAGTATCTAAATTTMTGGAAACGTCGCTTCAAAATGTGAATTAATAAAGATGAATATGGTTATGTATTATACGAGCAAAARTATGATATGCACATGCAGCTGTATTTCCCGTGAGAGAAGATCCTGCACAATTAATCACAATTAAGTTACTTTCGGGACTTTTTCATTGTTTTTAAGAGCATTTCATGTTGTGAAGTCAAAGAATCATTAATCATATTATGACCAACGCGGTGACGGATGACTTCACTGTTTTATCTTGACGTCATTTACTGGAATATCTTCCAAGATGTTCAACTTGTTGGAATAGTTGTGAAGACCTGATCTCGTCAGAAAAAACAAATATTTATCTAAAAATGGACCTACTCGGTTTGTTTCGTCGTATTTTACTTGAATGAAAGTTTCAGCTGTTTCTGATTTTGCTCAGAAATTTAATCTAATCTCTTATATCGAAACAAATATCATTAAAATCATATACAAGCAGTGTTTCTTTAGTTTTTTCGTCTATTCTCAGTTTTTCCAGATAACAGAGAAATTACTGCTCTTTCTGAAGTTCCAAATAGCTTTGCTCCAATCCTAGTCGTATTCYATAGACGGAAAGGACTGGTTAAGCTAATCTCGCAACCGAATACTACTGAGCATGCTATACTACTGCCGCTTGCTAGTTACGAGATTGAGGATCACCCTTTGGTGATCGTTACGTCTGAAGCATGYACATTATGACAGCCATGATTAAAACACTTGGTATTTCACTCACTTGCAATAAGTTTAATTCAGTTATTATAGACATCTTTTGTATACAGATCAAACACTATGGTTTCAGTTACGATATTCAACCACTACGYATGCTCATGGTGGTGACTTCTGAGTCTATCCCACATGGCAGGTTAAAATCTGTGACCTTATTAGTCGAGACTTCAAWATCCAATAACTCTACTTTCATTTTTTTGTTGCTTGTTTTTTGATAGTTTTCGTCCGATATTTATCTTTTTTRGTTGAAACACACATTAGACTTGACATTTGCAAGTATCATGACGGTTTCAGAGATCRCTGTCATTAAATAGTTTAGATTTCCTCTTCTCGTCGGTAGACCTGTCTGTGCTTAGCAAGGATTCTCATCAGAGGTCTGATGTCAAGCCACCATTGCTTCTCGGGAAGACGATGTCTTTCGTAAAAAAAAAAACAATGTTACAATTACATTAAATGATTATAAGACCTTGCAATCATCATAATCACCAATGCTATCCATAACATCATCACCATCATYGTTAATTAAACTTACTTGAAGTCCGCTTCATGTTTTAATTCTTGTACTGGTGTGAAGGGACTTATGGCTTTCTTGATTCCTAGAACACAAGCCGTGTCTGGCGTGTTCGCGTTAATCGATCCTATTAAAGATTGYAATAAAAGGCTTGATCAGCTGCTGTAATTGATAGTATGATAGGCTGTGACAAGCGAGAAAGAATTGAAGAAACGAAAGAAAAAATGAAAATTGGGATCAAAGACAACGTATGATCATGAAGWAGGAAAAATGGGATGAAGATGGTCTACAGCGAAAAAAGAAGAACAACATTAAGGTGGAAAGCATCTAAAAGAAGAAATAAATGGAGAAGTACAAGAAAAAGAAGGCGAACCAAACACAGAGGAGATGTAGAAGATCTSTAGTCATACCATCTCCAGACTTGCACTTTTTGGTAGTCTCCACCATCCAATCCACAGCAAGTGTAGCTTGCCTTGTTCCTTGTATTCGATCAAAMGGTGAAGGTTGACCACCCTGCAAAGAACACATCATTAAAACTACCCCTTGTCGCAGACTACCAGTGGAGGAGAAGAACAAGAGACTAGGAACTAGTCACCATTCTCCCTCTATGTGGTTACCACAGGATTACCAACCTGTTGGACATGGCCTAAGACGTTAGTTCGAGTTGAGAACACATTTTGACCTTCCTCTCGGTACAATGCACTGATGAACTCSGTYGTRTAGTTTTCACTGCACTTTTCATTCCTAAGATACAGAAACCAGGGTGAATACAATAGAACTTTGGACATTGTCATTTCCTCTTATTTCTCGTTATCATGGTCACTTTGGGGTTTCTAATGAAGTGTCTGCACCAGCGAGCGTTCACTACGAATGGAGTTCTGTGCGGATATTTTTTTGGGGTGGGAAAGGTGCAAGACATCTATCTAGACAGACACTCCCTTACGGCAGACAGCTATATGACTGTCAACTCTCTATACCACATAGCTGTCCGACAGACATCTCATTAAGGTACACGACGCTCTGTGAGACAGACACTTGTTACCTGATGATAAGCCCTCGACGTATTTTGCCCTGCATTTTGGATCTCAAATGGTTGACATCGTCCTGATGTAAAACAAAACAACAGTTTTAAACTGACCGCAGTAACATTTGCACATTTAAAGGTACCCAAGTCCAGTTGTTTAAATACGTCAAAGCGAACGCACTTGCGTGGAATTATACTTGCCTCTTTTATTTTGTGCAATTTAGTGCATGGTGCTTATAAAGAACAATAGCGATTAAAGGACGTTCCGTTTCAGTTGCAAAATTTAGTGMAAATTTGTGGTATTTTGATAATGTTCACAGATTGAAGTTGTTCACTCTATTGCGCATGCCTGTCATTGTTCTCTAGGCCAGCCACCACTGGCCCCCCATTGCCGGATTAGCTCGCTAGTGGCAATTAATTTATTTAAAGATTAAAGCATGCTCAGTGTGGACAACATCATTATCCCACATGGTCTACCTGAAGGTCTTTGAGAGTAAATTTCTCTTCAAATATATATGCTGCATCAGCACCACTAGCTAACGCTGCCATGGTTGCTAAGTAACCACAGTTGCCTCCCATGCATTCCACGACAAACACCCTTTTGAAGGAACTCATTGCGGACATCTTGATTCGGTCACAAATCTGGTGGTCAACAAGATTTTATTATTCTCAGCAGAGCGTCAAAACAAAAACTCAACAGTGACAATCATAGCCGGCATTAGTAGCATTGACAGAAGTGGCGACAACCGCAAAAACAAAAATGCAACAATTCAACTGACAGCAACAGTAATGATCACTACGGTCAACTCTCGCTTTACGGACACCCCGCTACAACGGACACCTCGATATTACGGACAGTAAAATACTGAATCCCCGCCGAAAAATACAAAGAAGTGACTGRAAGTAACTCTCGTTACTWCGGACTCTCGMTACTGCGGACACTAAATTACGGTCYCGAGGGTGTYCGTAATAGCGAGAGTTGACTGTATTATCAATTAAATGTACATTAGAAGAAAAGAAGCAACATTATCACAATACTAACAGCATCAACAAAAATATGCAGCAATATCACTTGAAGTGCAACAGGATATAATAACATTGAATTACCTCTACAATGACATTAAGAGCCGTGTCTGCACCGATACAGAGGTCAGTACCAGGAACATTGTTACTTATAACAGCAGGGATTACTAGGAGAGGAATACGACATGGTGGATACTTGTCACGCGCTTCAGCCAGCTGAAGACATGTATTGAATGCCTGCAGAAATCAGAAAAGAACTACTAAATGCTAACTCAAATTACATCACACTCTGACTCAAGACATCGTTGAACAACAGATGACAAATACGACTTAAAATCACAACAGCACTGACCTCAAATCCTCCAATAATCAACAATCCTTTGATTCCAAACTTAGATAACTGTTGAGAGACTTTTTCCATGTTTACAGATGCGCAAGTTCTTGATGAAGGAAATGAAATAAAAGGAAAATAATAAATAAATAAATAGCACATGTTTTCTTCTGCTGTTATCATTATTTCCAACATACCTTGTAGTTCCAAGTTTAGACCCACCCTCATCTGACCATCCATCGACCTCAACCCATCCCATCTTGTGCACCTGACCTTCCAGTAGACCATCAATGCCGTCTTTGATCCCAAGTACTTCATGGCCTTCATAAAGAGCACCTCGTACAAAGGCTCTGACAGCAGCATTCATTCCTCCAGCTGGYGCTCCGATATTCATGACGGCAAACACCTCRCCACTCTAAAGAGATATGAGGGATATAAGGAMGAAAAAACTGACACTTATTAAGGTGTAGACGAACAAAAAGCATCTTGCCATGATCACAAGATACTAAAATAATATTTAGAATTTATTGAAGATAAAATTGATGATAAATGTAAACTTACAGAACATTCYCCTTCAATGGAGCACTGGCTTTCTGTTGGTGGTGCAACTTTTCTTAATCTTTTAAACATTTGGAGATTTCTTTCAAAACTCCTATAATACGAGGTCACATATCCATTATTTTGTAATTGACAGCAAAATAATACAACACAATAAGCATAGCGAAAAATCCTTTGTAAATGAGAGACAAACTAAGGTGTGTTTTTTTTACCTTCCTCTGAGACGGCAGACTTCATCAAATTGTCGATTTTTCATTGCTTCCTGGACTTTGAGWGTCTAAAGACAAGCAAGGAACAACTGGTCAGTTTTAGTTAACCTTCCAACCAAGATTAACATATGGCAAACCTTTTCAACACACTCCATTAGAGGTTTCTTTACAATCTTGTTCCCGTCTGAGCATATCACACATGATGGTGTCTGTGGGGTGGCCTCTAGGACAGCCAGGGCTGCTTCAGCACCCATTCTACATGACTATCAATAAAAAACACAACATCACTATAATCTTACAACAATATCAAGCATCTTGGCTGATCCTTGTTCAATTTATAGCACTGCATTATAATTACACATATACTTACCAAGATTCTGTCAAAAGCAGATGCAACACCTCCTCTTTGCACATGGCCAAGGACTGTGACACGGGTATCATGCTCAAGTTTTGTCTTGATAACCTACAAAAGGCGGTGGAGGCTGGTTATGAATAAAATCTGAAATCTGTTGTAATTTCTAAAAAAATAAGAAAAAAAAAATGTAACTTAAAAAAAAAAAAAAAAAGATTTAGTTTTCGTAGTGTAGTTAGTTCTAGTGTACGTCTTGTATAGTAATTTATGTGAATTCTAAAGTTGTAAATGTGCATTTAAAAAAAATTAAAAAAAAAAAAAACCCTACAAAATTAACATCTATGAATATACTTCAAGAGATTATAAAATTTTTGATATATAACGCGCGCTTTGATTGGCTGACGACTGTGTTTATATCAGAGGACAGAGACACGGCTTACCGGCAAAAATTTGCTTTTCGCTCGAAAAATTTCATAAAAGAAATACAAAATGGCCGCTTGTGTCTCTGTCCTCTGATATAAACACGGTGGGAGTTGAAAAACACTCGAGAAACAAGAGAAACACTTGCTACGTTCGTGTTCCTAAGCTTGCTTCTCTCGTGTTTTTTGAACTTCCACCGTGTTATATCAGAGGACAGAGACACACGCGCCGTTTTATATTTCTTAAATAGTAAATGCTGGTGATAATATGATAAATTATAAACAATAAAATGATGGATAATATACTGTCAACACTTTGGATGTTGGTCCTTTGTCTACTGTACTCCAACAAAATACCAAAATATGTCCCAAACATATTAGTAAGTTGGTAAAACTTTTTGTCACAACTGTAATATAGTGTTTAGGCATTGAAAGACAGATTTTCAAGCAACTTACATCTTTAATTTGGTTTGCAGTGATTGTATTTCCATGAATATCTTGGGCTCCTTCAGCTACAATTACWATGCAGAGTCTGCGGCCACTAAGTCTAACCTAAAATCAACAGGAGTTATTTTAAAAAACATGCACACTTTCCTTGTTATTTACCAACTTAACTTTTTTTTTGCTTTTAGTGAAAAACTGTCAGCAGTCTAAATCTTGATGGCAGTTTTTCTGATGGACCAGCATTAAAGAATAACAACCAACCGGTGTACCTTGCGAGCCATTCTAGGCGTACACATAAATGGCGGATTTGTAGGATTTCTTAAAATGAGTCAGAATCATCTTCCATCCTTTCAGTTTGGACAGAAATAGCTTTAACTAAATACCTCACAGATAGTTTCAATCTATAGTCTATTATATGCTTGATGAGGTAAGTAGTGGTATTCCGTATATAAACAATAACACAAGTGTGCACTGTATTGTGGTTGGTTGGGTTTCTTTAAGCTGCTAAACAACTTCTTCAAGGATACCAGAGAGTCTGGATCAAATAATTCTTAACAAAATCTTGTAAATTATAGAGCGATAATGTCATTACAGTATTCATAGTGTTTGGATTAATATACCTTATGTAGATGATTGCACATCTTATCTTCCCATCCGTCTTCAACAGGCCACTCTGGAATGAAGACCTAGAGAAACCATTTATAACATGTAGCAAAGAATTTGTCTTTTGGTGGAATGGGTTCCCTGTGTTGAGATATGACTGACTAGGGTAAAGGTGGTTGCTCCTCTCAGTCTAAATATACTTACATAGTCAGCACCAACCCCAACACCACTGACTAGAGCTAGATATCTAWARRTGAATAAGAAAGTAGTTRAMAGAGCSYCATGTTGATTCATTMTGCGAGTACCACAGCAAATACCACATCACAGATTATAAAATTCAACCAAACTGCAATCCAATTATAATCCAAGTCAGGAAGAAACTTACCCACAATGTCGACCCATGACTTCAAGAACAAAGGTTCGTTGATGGCTGTGAATGTGTTATGTTATGTTAACTCATATTGTCTTTGATAGAAGGACATACAATGAAATGTATGTATGTACCTTGTTGCAGTGGTCATGATGGAATCTGTAGCCTCAAAGATTCGATGCAGAGCAGTGTCAGTGCCAATTGTCATGTCAGTCCCACAGAAATCATTGTCAATAGAACCAACCTGTCAAAAGTGAATTAAAAAAAAACAGYGAGTGAACAAAAGGCAATCAYTRYCATGACAAAACATMTTATGCTACACCAGGTGCRAGATAAAACATCACSTCGAACAGAAAAGAACTCACCATGCCAACAATGTTTAAAGACATATTCTTTGCTGTCTGTTCTTCTGTTAATAATCCTACAATAAAGAGTTTGAAGGTTATTTGAAAAAGGGCTAGTTTATATTGAAGAATAGAGGKCTATTTTCATTCAAATGCATCAAGGAAAATATCTTGAAGAATATGATTATGGCTAAAGAGGGTTCCATATTCTTATAATCTAAGAATGGATTTATATGCMAAAGGAACTCCTTCATTCAACAGAAATTCACCTGTTACATGTTCACTGCATGATACATATAACAGATGCATGTGACAAGTCTAACCTGCAAAGCTCATTTCTGAAAAATATGTCATTTATTTGTAATTAATTACCTTTAGTAACAAGCTCCTCCAGAAGGCTCGGCCATTCTTGCTTGAATAAATTAGCACCAGTCAAGCTGCCATCACCACCAATAATCACCTGATAAAAAGATCAAAATATCACATCAAAGTAACACATTAGGAATAACAGACAACTTCAAAAATGACACCATGGTAACGTCCTATACATACATGATTTTATTTATTCAATTTTCATTCATCTTACCAGGTTTGTAATGCCTTTTTCTACCATGTTAYGAGCAGCCTTTAATCTTCCTTCTCTTTCCCTAAAATCTTTACATCTTGCACTTCCAATGATTGTGCCTCCCTATTTCAAAAGGTTAAAATAACATTTTTTCCTGGTTAATTTAGGCGTTATTAAAGTGCAACCATGCATATATGTCTTGTAGTACCTGTTGTATGATGCCCGAAACATCATACCAGAAAACCTCCTTGATATTATCCCCACCATCTACCAAACCTTGATAACCCTGTAAAAATGTTTGATATAATAAAAGAGTTTATAAAAATAATTGATAAAGAGCCAGTACATGATCAAAAGTGGCTATTAGTGAGAAAGACTGTACGATAATTATTGAATTATTATGATACCTCCCATATCGTGAAGACTCTTGCATTGGTGTACAAACCCATCCGTACTACAGMTCTGATAGCTGCRTTCATCCCTGTATAAAAGCATGAGAAATTTTTCATTGGAATTGAAAATATGTTTAGTTTTTGCAATTAACATTTCCTGGATATGTTTGCATATATAAATGTACAACTATATGACAACGAACTCAGCCATTGTTTACATAACAAATACCAAACCATATGCAAAATTACCTAATCTATATCATTTTATATTTCTATATCCTTAAAAATATTATGTCTGTCATAAAAGCACGTCTATACAGAGTCGTTTAATGTTGTTCGTTAGTTTGGTCTCAATGTTATCTCTGCAGAAATCGCAACAGATTTTSCAATGAACAAAAATTCTTTAAGCGTAATTCTTTGCATGCATATAGTTAATACCAGTGCATGCATCTATGCACGAACTTCAGCGAGATGAAAAATSTCCATTAATCATGAAAATTGCYGTCATTTCTGAGCTTTAGTAGCTTGTTCACGGCCATAAGATAATCAATAAAATAATCCTAAAGCGAAAAACGAAAAAAGTGAAATTTACGTCAATGGCACAGCTGTCATGTCAAAGTCAGAGGTTCTTTGTGACCASAACATGTGTTTGTAAAATTCTATGGTTATAAAACCTACCCTGAGAATCACCACCACTAGTTAGCACTCCAATGCTTTGTCCAAAGCCATCAACTGTAATGAGAGAAGGCATACGATCTCTTAATAAAGGTCTTGGTTTTCTTGCAGAAGGACCAGTGTCCATTTCAGCTTTGCGCTTAAGAGGCGAGACAACATGTTCAGGAGTGCGATTTAAGTTAAGATACGATAGCAGTTTGCTAGTTAGCTCAGTTAGCAAGTAGAGAAGGAGTTGAGACATGATTAGTGAGCTTTTATAGTTGGAAATGCAACTGCAACAAGCTCGAAGAAGAACAAGAACAACGATGGCTGAAGACCTTGACGACCGCGATTTCTAGACACAGCGGATGCATAAGTTTCCGGTTCCGGTTCCGTCAATTCATTAGAAAGGGAAAAATAATGAAATCGAGGGAAAAATAAAGAGAAGAAATGAACAGTGCTTCAGTTTCTCACTGAATTCTATCCCAGTACCCTTGCATTGATGTGCCCTGGATTCGAACGCAGCTCTCTAACTGCAATGCGAATCGATTCGATCATTTGGCATTGGTTCGAGTCCCATTATGGTCAGTACTCACTTTCTTTGTTCATGAATAGAATTATTTGTTAAACTATACACTTACGATAATCAAATACACACATTTGTGTTACCTGAACTTCCAGAAGGCGTAGTCTCCATTGGAACAAATACTGGCTGACGAGGCGATTGTCAGCTGGGTTGAGAGCGGTATCGATTCTGCCTCAGAAAAACGGCCTTTTCTCGCATAAACGCGTACTARGACTTGCTATTAAAGTTCAATTCCCTTTTCGGAATGTTTTAGACATAGTTGATTATAAAGAATGGTTGATAGACCTTGAAGACAACAAACAGAGCACTAACGGCAGACCAGTAGTAGTAGTATCTACACAGGCGCTCTGGCCTAACCGGACTGACCCAGTGTAAGATGTGGCAGCGYAAAAGAGTGATTTACAATAGGATAAGATCAGGCAAGATAAAATGCAAATTTTCGACATAGTAAGGAATTGAAAAGAATTAGAAAAACTGGAAAATATTGGTGATAAGTTATATACCTTGTGGATATAAACTAAAATGATAAAACGGGCACAGAATTAATCGAATATTTTGTTTTGGACGCAAAGAACGCCAATTTTTAAAGTAAAATTATAATCTGACATCAAGCAATGTTTAGTCCCCCTCCGCAATCAATGCGAAACCTATATTCAATATCGGAATGTACATATTTTACCTCTTAAAATTTCTTTTCCACTTTCCATATTGGCTGTTCACATGAAATCAGTATCGAGGACGATCCTCCTTGGACTTGAAGCTAACCCATAAAAAAAATCAAAATGAGAAACCTTAGTTTTATGATTGAAAAAAAAAATGAAAAAAAACGACAGTAGAGAGATAATTGCTGCAAGATAGACAATCAATATGGTAAAAATGTACTTACTACTTGTCGAATGTCCTTCAATATACCCGTTCAAAACCGTCAACATTATAATTTACATGGGATACAATTCAAGAACATTTCATGGCTCATTTTTCCTTGGTTTTCAGGTGTTCGGATATTTTTTT